TCATCTGCAGGTGCACGGAGAGACAGAAATTTTTAAAAATCCATTATTTAGTTAATTAGTAGAGATTTTATAAATCAGGAGAGTTTTTCTTATTCTACTGCCTGGAAAAAAAAAAAAAAAGATGGAAGGCTAAGATCTCCTGCCTGTAAAGTTTTGGAGGGAAAAGAAGGCAGAAATAATCAGCTTATTTCACTAGGTACAGATAGGTGTTGCCAGTGTTAAATACATCAGCTTCAAATATAAACCATTCCAATTATCTTACTTTTCTTAATGAATCCAGTGCACTGAAGATTGCAATTAACAAAAACATTTTAATTAAATTCCAGTTCCCATCCATGTATAGCTTTATGCCGATCATTTAATACGTTTTGGGGAATTATTAAATATAGAATGTCTGCCATTGTTTTATAAATAAAAATGCTGGTGGTTTTTTTGTTAAATGCATATGACTTGTAACGTTGGCTAAAGGAAAATTTTACCAAACTTAAAGGAAAGGCTAAATTTTAAATTCCAGTTTTGCTTGTTTTAGTGATTGCCAACAAGTGAGAAGCTAAAAACTGTAATTGCAAAAAAACAAACAAACAAACAAAAAAAAACCCAAAAAAAAACCCAAAAAAACCCCAAAAAAAAAACAGGTTAAAATATTTAATTTCAGTTTTCCAAAATGTTCCTGCAAACTCTTAATAAAAACTTGTAGCTAAAATAGTCCCAATTAAGGCAAATTCCTACTGGCTGTATCCTTGGAGCTGAGATCCAGCAGCACATTCCTTCACTTGCATGCCTGAAAAGGAAAACAAAATAATATTTTTTTTTTTTAGTCTTTTCCTTTTATGTTTGGGGATGCCATGGGAAAATATTTCTCAAAAAGGACTGTGTGACCTCTCCTTTGCTGACTCTTTCTGTCCCTTCTGAGTGTGATGTTAAATGATGGTCATGAAGACTTTCCCACTTTTTGCCATGGCTTCAGTTCTTTTCTTTTTCCATGAGCTGGCTCCTGTGTGCTGGGGCTGTTCTTTCTCATACTGGGCCCAAAGACTGGGGAAACAAGCTGGATTTGGAGAAGCAGCTATCTACCCTCCCTGCTCCCCAAAATACTGGGATAAAGCTCTCCTAAGATGTTGTTTTTCCATGAGGCCAGTCGAGGATTCAGCTGTTGGGTGCCCTTGCCATGTTTTGTAGCACCTCAGCTCTATTTAAAAAATGTTTTTAAAGACAGAAGCAGGAGTAGAAGTTGAGTGAGGATAATTCTCTGCTGCTCTCAGCTCTGCAGTCCTGATGTGCTGTCAAAAGGAGAGACAGTGTTAAGCAACTAGAAGGTATTTCCAGGAAAAATCCCAAATGTTTCCTTCTCCCAACATGGGAAGACTCCAGCCAGTGCAGAGGGCAGAGTGTGGGGCTCCAGGCTCCAGCTGAGCCCAAAGGCTCTGTGATTCCATCTTGTCCAGCAGGGCTTCATTGCAGGAAATATTTGCATTGTCAGTGCCAGGCCTGATGTTTGATTTTGGTGAGACAAGTGACTGTATGCTGTGAAAAACTTCTTCCACATAACAAGTGACCTCTGTCTCCACATTGGTCACTGGGTTGCTGAGCTCTTGCTGGACTTAGGGGAGGTCTCCTTTAACTCTTGCATTAACCTTCTTCCACAAAATACTCTGTCTTAACCACAAGGATTCCCTCTGTGCCTGTAATTAAAGCAGCCATTATGTTCTGGCCCCCTAATGTCCTGCTGCCCTATGTAACATGTCACCAGCATCTCCACTGTGCTCCTTTGCAATTCTTTTTGTTCTTTTTAGAGAATCACAGAATCCCAGGATGTTTTGGGTTGGAAAGGATCTTGAAGCTAATCCCGTTCCAACCTCCTGCCATGGGTAGGGACACCTTTCACTAGACCAGGCTGCTGCAATCCCCATCCAACCTGGCATGGAACCCTTCCAGGGATGAGGGAAAAATCAGTTCTTGCCTTTAGGCTTCTTGACCTCAGTTTCAAAGCTGTGTCCCATCCCTTTGCTTTTTCAATTTTTCACATTTCTGTTTAACTCTCATCTTTGTTCCATTTCTGGAGAGTTCTTTCATCTCACTCTGCAGCGCTGAACACCCATCGGTGTCTTTTCCACCTTGAGGTTGGTCTTTGGCCCAAAGTGGTGTAGGTGGCTGAGCTGTCCATGCCTGAGGTTTTTTTGTCACCGCCTTGGACAGCGTGCCATTTGAGGTCATCTTGGCTCTGAGGCAAGAGAGATGTGACACATTATCACTCTGTGCTGGAGAACTCCAAGAGGCTGCAGAGGCAGAGGAGCATGGAGACCCTCATGTTGATCAAAATGAGCTGTATGACCATGTTATCCCAGCTGCAGGGCAGGATTGATTTAATTTGTCCCAAAATCATGCTGCTAATCGCATGGGATTAAATTCTACTTGTCCAGCTGGTGCTGCTTTGTGCTGTGGATTTTTGCATTTCTTCTGCCAGGTGCTCTTCATCCTCTTCTGGAGATGCCTGCTCTGATTGCTTCCACTTCTGAGAGTTTCCCTCTGAATCAGCAAACTCAGAAATCCATTCTTTCCATTGCTGGTAACAGAACCTGCAGTAAAACTCTTGGTCTCCAGCTTGCACTTCCCAAAGCTGTTTTCTTGATGTTCTTCAAGAATGCAGCACATTACCATTTGGTTTTTTGACATCTATGGTACTTAGAGGAGCTTAGTGCTCCGAGCATGAAATGGGCTGTCACAGCCTGGATTTCCCATGAGTTTCCTAAGGAAGCTGTTCAGCCTGGAGAAGATTCCAGGGAGACTTTAAAACCCCTTCCAAAACCTAAAAGAGCTCCAGGAGAGATGAGGAGAGACTTGGACAAGGGCCTGGAGTGACAGGACAAGGGGGAATGGCTTCTCACTGCCAGAGGGCAGGGTTAGGTGGGATATTGGAAGGAATTCCTGCCTGTGAGGGTGTGAGACCCTGGCACAGGGTGCCCACAGCAGCTGTGGCTGCCCTGGAACCCTGGAAGTGCCCAAAGCCAGGCTGGACAGGGCTTGGAGCAACCTGGAGTAGTGGAAGGTGTCCCTGCCCATGGCTTAGGTTGGAACAGGATGATCTTTAAGTTCCCTTCCAACCTAAGCCATTCTGTGATTGTTTTTATGATTCTGTGGGCACAGGTGTGTGGGCTGTGCTTAGTTTGGGCTCCTGACCTTGCTCTGCTCAGTGAGCAGAGGTGTCCTCTGTCCCACATGGCTGGGATAAATCTTTCAGCTTTGGATTGAGTGGCCTTTGCTTAAGCCTTGTTTCATAAAACTCTACTCACATGTTAGACTTTTTGTCAGGAGGATGGGATTGCTTTTATCTCATTTGAACTCTGATGATATGTTTTAGTCTCTTCTGGGGAAGACGAGAAGAATTGGTGAATGATTGGGATGTTTGCCTAAAATGCTGCTTTTCTGATTTTTTTTGGAAAAGTTGT